TATATATAATATATTATATATGTGTGTGTGTGTAATATAAATTAAAAGTAACACTCATGACTAACCGAATAATCAGCTCTTTTAAATTTATATGGAGTGTGATGCGCACACGCCAGCTAGGTGTAATTTTTTTACGGGTTAGAAAGCTGTTGATCAACATTAGGCGCTTATATATTAATTTGTAAATAGTTGAAAATACGCGAATTGTTATAGAGGTTTTGCAAAATGCATTTATATATTAGCTATACTAGAGCTAGGTATAGATATGGTCATGCTATCACATACGAACTTGTGTGAAATTTGGTTGAATTTAGTTTCCATGGCGATAGATCGACCCGTTTTTGGCTTCTCGCCTATACGCGCCATTTACTAGTTAATTCAACTTCTAGCAAAGGATTGGCCTGTATTTTACATGACCTACGTTAGGCTTTCGTTTCAATCGCCCAGTCTGCATACATTACTCGTAATCACGTAACGTGGATTGAACGAACCTTTATGAAATATTAAAGTACATAGCAATCAGCAGCTGAGTTTTTTCGGTCTGTCTGATAGCATTGCCGGACGCCAGCGCGATTTTATTTGGTTATTCACATGCAGGCTATAGCTTACGTGTATTTCTGCGCACGGAGTGGGATAACTACAGCGAACAACATGCCAAAATTGCAGACGTGAGTTGAGAAAAGACGATCGCTTCTGCGATTAATTAACAACCGCGTCCGGTCTAGTTTCTGTGTGAAGCAACGCTTTACGTATCAGTCGGTGTTCAGCACAGCGGTCTATACCATCAGCAACTGCTGCTGGCTAATCTGGCCGGTTTGGCACACTAGCGTGGCGTGCGCGTGCGCGTGCGTACGTGCGTGTGTAATCTGTGTATGTACGACGTACGTGCGTAGCGTGTGTATGTGTGCGTGCACGTATGTGTGATGCGTACGTCTGCGTGCGCTGCGTGCGCTACCGTGCATGTTTGTGTGTATCGCGCCGTACGTGCACGTGCGTGTGTATGGGCTGTGTGTGTGTGCGCGCGCGTACGTGTGTGCGTGCGTGCGTGCGTATATGTGCGTGCGTGC